TAAGTATTTTACTGGAATGGGCTACAAGACCATTGCCAAGCAGCTTGGTGAGAAGGTGACAACAGCTCGTGTGATTATTCGCAAATGGAAGAAACACAAAAGAACTGTCAATCTCCCTCGGCCTGGGGCTCCATGCAACATCTCACCTCGTGGAGTTGCAATGATCATGAGAACGGTGAGGAATCAGCCCAGAACTACACGGGAGGATCTTATCAATGATCTCAAGGCAGCTGGGACCATAGTCACCAAGAAAACAATTGGTAACACACTACACCGTGAAGGACTGAAATCCTGCAGCGCCCGCAAGGTCCCCCTGCTCAAGAAAGCACATATACATGCCCGACTGAAGTTTGCCAATTAACATCTGAATGATTCAGAGGACAACTGGGTGAAAGTGTTGTGGTCAGATGAGACCAAAATGGAGCTCTTTGGCATCAACTCAACTCGCCGTGTTTGGAGGAGGAGGAATGCTGCCTATGACCCCAAGAACACCATCCCCCATCGTCAAACATGGAGGTGGAAACATTATGCTTTGGGGGTGTTTTTCTGCTAAGGGGACAGAACAACTTCACCGCATCAAAGAGACGATGGACGGGGCCATGTACCATCAAATCTTGGGTGAGAACCTCCTTCCCTCAGCCAGGGCATTGAAAATGGGTCGTGGATGGATATTCTAGCATGACAATGACCCAAAACACACGGCCAAGGCAAAAAAGGAGTGGCTCAAGAAGAAGCACATTAAGGTCCTGGAGTGGCCTAGCCAGTCTCCAGACCTTAATCCCATAGAAAATCTATGGAGGGAGCTGAAGGTTCGAGTTGCCAAACGTCAGCCTCGAAACCTTAATGACTTGGAGAAGATCTGCAACGAGGAGTGGCACACAATCCCTCCTGAGATGTGTGCAAACCTGGTGGCCAACTACAAGAAACGTCTGACCTCTGCGATTGCCAACAAGGGTTTTGCCACCAAGTAATAAGTCATGTTTTGCAGAGGGGTCAAATACTTATTTCCCTCATTAAAATGCAAATAAATTTATAACATTTTAGACATGCGTTTTTCTGGATTTTGTTGTTGTTATTCTGTCTCTCACTGTTCAAATAAACCTACCATTACAATTATAGACTGATCATTTCTTTGTCAGTGGGCAAACGTACAAAATCAGCAGGGGATCAAATACTTTTTTCCCTCACTGTAGCTTCCACACAGCATTACGCAACCGATGGAAAGATAATGGTCCTCAACTGATTTGGAGTGAGACCTTTGCTGTCAAACCAGAGCTGGTCATGAGCACACTGCCCAGATATGGAAAACTCTCCACTCTCTCCATAATTGCCCCATCACCAACGGGGAGTCGAGGGGGTGGAGTGTTTGATGGCAAAAATACCAAGGCAGAGTATAAAATACATATGTAGAGGTATTATTGTGCACTCCCCATGCTGTCAGCTGGTAGTATCCCTCACATGTCAATAGGGGGCGGAAGAGTGACTAAGCCCAATGTTAAAGGACTATGGCCCAAAGGGCCAACGGCAAACCCTGGGATAACGGATCCAGGGACAAAGACCCCAGACCCCAGGAGGGGGGCTGGGGGATGATGTCACCCTTCCGGGACCTGGTGGAAGATTCTGGAAGGAAGGCGTGGCCAGGGCGGAGCATGCCACGGACCTGTATAAAAGCCGGACCTCTGAACGGTCTCGGCAGTCATCGTCTACCCGAAGATCAAGAGCCTCCTGGGGAGAAGAGCCCACGGGCAGAGTCGTCCCCCTGGCAAGGGTCGGCTCCAGCTTCTATGCCGGTGAAGACCAAGCTTCACTCAAGATGGGTTAGAATAGCCAGTGAGAGGCGTATCGGGTGTAAGGGGCCGTTACCCCTTTGTGTCAAGCAGTATTGTTGAATAAAATAGTGTTGCCTCAGATAGACTGTCCTCTAGTTTCTGACCCACAACACACGTACATAGAACATAATACAACACAAATACAAAATACGTACACTACAGATACAACACACGTACATCTCCATATATAACAGGCAAAGTTGCGATTATGTGTGTCTGTTCAAACTGTTCAGCCTACTTCCCGACATGCAACAAACTGGAAATTTGCCATGTGGGTACGTTCCAGACTGTACACCATGCAAAAATTATAAAAATACACTTTTGTGTGTGTGTTTTTTTTTTGGGGGGGGGGGAGCTCAATAATGCATATATTCTTTTGCACGGCAAGTGAGCTGTGACGTCAAATCTGTCACGTGACCCGCGCATGTGGAAGCGTAACGCATTCTAGTGTAGCGGTTAGCGCTACGCTGCGCTACGAACCCGGCGACCCGAGTTCGATTCCCGCTCACGGCCACCACCGGTGACGATCATTTCAACCGGTCCTGGGCCTCTCCTCGGTCGACTCAGCCTCAAACAAGTAACTGCTGTGGTGTGTGAACATCGCCACTGGGGAGACAAAGGCGGCCGGGCGTGGTGCATCCAAGTCCCGGGGGAAGCCGGGTAGTACAGCTAGTCTTCGATATAAAAACACTAGCTTGAAATAATCGTCACCGGTAGTGACCGGTTGAAATAATCGTCACCGGTGGTGACCGGTTGAAATAATCGTCACCGGTGGTGGCCGGTTGAAATAATCGTCACCGGTGGTGGCCGGTTGAAATAATCGTCACCGGTGGTGGCCGGTTGAAATAATCGTCACCGGTGGTGGCCGGTTGGAATAATCGTCACCGGTGGTGACCGGTTGAAATAATCGTCACCGGTGGTGGCCGTGAGCAGGACTCGAACTCGGGTCGCCGGGTTCGTAGCGCAGCGTAACGCTAACCACTACACTACAATGCGTTACGCTTCCACATGTGCAGGTCACGTGACAGATTTGACGTCACAGCTCACTTGCCGTGCAAAAAGATATGCATTATTGAGCTCCCCCCCCATAAAAGTGTATTTTTATAATTTTTGCATGGTGTACAGTCTGGAAAGTACCCACGTGGCGAATTTCAAGTTTGTTGCATGTCGGGAAGTACGCTAAACATTTTGAACAGACACACATATTCACAAACGGCACGTACACCACCTCTTTCCTAAAATCCGCCAATCAAATGCTATTTTTTATGCTAATTTCTTCGTCAGAACACCTTGTTTGCTCGCACACAGTTTAAAGGTCCGCTGTCTGAGCGTGGCTGTGTTTCGCTGAATTCTCCTGTTTGATGAGTACTAGGTGCCTCGGTGAATGTATATGCTCTGACTTTAACATAGCTATTTCTGTGACCAGTTACAAGCTAATCACTCAGCTATTTCAATGCTAAATTCTATGCTAATTCCTTTGTCAAGGCGCTTTGTGTTTTTCTTCTCACACAGCTTAAAGGTCGCGATCTAAGCGTGGCTTCTTCCACTCCAGCGCTGTCCTCCAGACAGTCTCGTCCCTTCACCTGATGAAGGCCGCTTGTGTTGTGGCCGAAACGTCGTGATTTTTTGTTATTTTATTTTCACCTACGTGACTTTACCCAACAGAACCAAAGAGTAAAAACATTCACAACTTTGCCTTTTATATATATGGAGATAGATATAAGATTCACCTACTGCTAGGGTTGCAGCATTGTGAGGAGTGCAGTACTCCTCACAATGTTGAGGGGAGTGATGGAGAACGCCGTTATAAGAGCACGGATTTGCCAAGGCACTGCAGTGAGAGGCAAGGTATCATTTGGCACGTAATTATATCACGAATAAAAGAATGTTCCATCATTTAGAGCTCGTCAAAAGTTACGGGCGAAACAAATCGGATGGTTGTATTCATATTGAAGGAATCCGATGAGCTATAAAGCTCTTTGTTGCACTCCTATCTCGTGAGTAGTGTTTTGTGTGTTCGCTGTTGTAACTTTGCTGAACCCGTGCACCCGCACTGGACATCTGTGACGAAGAGCTTCGTAGCTTTTCGGATTCATCTCGATTCTCTCGCCAAGTCCGGCATGCGACGTCACTCGCGTGTGAGTGTGGCGATGACGTCACGCGTTTGCGAGTGGTTGCTGACAAATATCTTGTGAATATCTGGGGACGTCACGCACGCGTAGTTGCGCCGGTGACGTCACGGACATGTCAGTAGTGGTGACGTCACACTAATGTGAGCGTATCCCGTGAGGTCACTCCAGTAGCGTCAAGCCAGCGTGAATGGTTTCAGTTTTCAGTTTCATTTATTTGGTAGAGCCCTGTGAGCCATTCGGCTCTTGAATCGGGTGCAACCGCAACAAGCAAACAAAGAAAAACATGAACAAGAAAACATCTTAAAGTGACTATGTGACTGTGCAAACAGAAATTCCAGGAAAAAAAACAGCAAAATATTCCTGAAAAAGCACCGTAAACCAACGCCAGACCAGGCAGTTATGGCGTCACGTCAGTGTAAGCAGTAGTGACGTCACGCTAGTACGAGTAGTGGTGACGTCACGACAGTAGGAAAACTAGTAGCGTCACGCTCGTGCGAGCAGTCGTAGCGTCACGCCAATGTGAACAGTAGTGACGTCACGCCAGTACGAGTAGTGGTGACGTCATGCCAGTGCGAGTTTAAGTGACGTCATGCAAGTGCGAACAATAATGACTTCACGTCGGTGCGAATAGTAAAGTCACGCCAATGCGAGCAGTGGATGACGTCACGACAGTGGGAGTCGTAGTGACGTCACGCCAGTGCGAGCAGAGGGAACGTCACGCCCGTGCGAGTAGTTGTCAACGTCACGTAAGTGCGGGCAGCAGTGATTTCACGCCGGTGGTTGGCTTAGTAGTGACGTCATGTAGTGCGAGCGGTGGTGACGTTTTGCCAGTGCGAGTAGAGGGGACGTCACGCGCGTCAGAGCGAACACTAGGAACGTCACACCAGTACGAGCGGCCAATGGCGTCGCGCGAGCTTCGAGCGACGTCACGCGAATGCGACTAGCGCCGACGTCACGCTCGAAACGAGTACTAGTGACGTTACGTCAGAGCGCACACTAGAGACGTCACGCCAGTACGAGCGGCAGTGACGTCACGCCAAAAATGCGAGTGTCGGTGACGTCACGCGAGCGCGCGAGCGTCCAGTGGCGTCATGTCAGTGCAAGGAGCAGCAATGGCGGAGCGAGACGCGGCGCTTCACGAGCACCGCAAAAAGCTGCTGGAGCACAAGGAGGTGGACGGCAGGCTGCGGGAGCGTGAGCGGCACCCTCACCACTCGCCCCTCACCCCTCACCAGCGCTCACCCGCACGCGCCGCGTGCAGGGAGCGGCATCTCCCGCTTTGTGCAGAGTCACCGGGGGGACTCGTTCCGCTAGGCCTCAAGCCCGCCCCGATTCGCACTCCCGGCATCCACTCACCATCACTAACTAACACTATCACTAACACTATCATTAACACTCACAATCACTAACACTATCATTAACACTCACCATCACTAACTAACACTATCACTAACACTATCACTAACACTATCATTAACACTCACCATCACTAACACTATCATTAACACTCACCATCACTAACTAACACTCACTAACACTATCACTCACCATTACTAACACTATCACTCACCATTACTAACTAACACTATCACTAACACCATCACTAACTAACACTATCACTAACACCATCACTAACTAACACTATCACTAACACTATCACTAACACTATCATTAACACTCACCATCACTAACACTATCATTAACACTCACCATCACTAACTAACACTCACTAACACTATCACTCACCATTACTAACTAACACTCACTAACACTCACCATCACTATCTAACACTATCACAAACACTCACCATCACTAACACCATCACTAACACCATCACTAACACCATCATTAACTAACACTATCACTAACACTCACCATCACTCACACCGCCACTCACCCTCACGAACTTTCACTTACACCATCAATCCCGCTCACTCACTAACCATCACTATCACTAACACTCCTTAACATTAACTTATCACTCGCTCCGCCACTCACTCTCACGAACATTCACTTACACTCACTATCACTCACTCTTATTATCATTGATGACGGTGGTGATGGTGTTGATGATGGTGGTGATGGTTTTGATGATGGTGGTGTTGTTTGCACAGTCACATAATCACTTTAAGATGTTTTCTTGTTCATGTTTTTGTTTGTTGCGGTTGCACCCGATTCAAGAGCCGAATGGCTCACAGGGCTATACCAAAATAAATGGAACTATGAACTATGTTAATGATGGTGTTGATGATGATGGTGGTGGTGATGGTGTTGATGGTGGTGTTGTTGATAATGATGATGGTGTTGATGATGGTGGTGTTGATGATAATGGTGGTGGTGATGGTGGTGTTGATGATGGTGGTGGTGGTGTTGATGATGGTGGTGATGGTGTTGATGATGGTGGTGTTGATGTTAATGATGGTGGTGATGGTGATGATGGTGGTGGTGATGGTGTTGATGGTGGTGTTGATGATAATGATGGTGGTGATGGTGTTGATGATGGTGGTGATGGTGTTGATGATGGTGGTGATGGTGTTGATGATGGTGGTGTTGATGTTAATGATGGTGGTGATGGTGTTGATGATGGTGGTGATGGTGTCGATGATGGTGGTGTTGATGTTAATGATGGTGGTGATGGTGTTGATGATGGTGGTGGTGGTGATGGTGTTGATGGTGGTTTTGATGATAATGATGGTGGTGATGGTATCTCTCAGTCCGTGAACAGCTCAAGGATCTGACTAAGCAGTATGACAAGTCCGAGAACGACCTCAAGGCTCTGCAGAGCGTGGGCCAGGTACAGACACAAGGCACTACCACTACCACCACTCGCTAAAGGACAGTCACTACTGCCGCGGGAGTCATTGAGTGAATGACCGTGTGGTTATTGAGCGAGTGTGTCAAAGAGTGTCACTGAATGAGTGTTTGAGTGAGTGAGTGGCTGAGTTTGACTATTGAGTGTTTTACAGAGTCACTGAATTAGTTTTTGAGTGAGTGAGTAACCGAGTGAGTGTCTGAGTGTGACTATTGAGTGTCAATGAATGAGTGTTTTAGTGAGTGAGCGAGCGAGTGGCTGGGTGGTTATTGAGTTTGTCTATTGAGTGTGTGATAGTGTCACTGAATGAGTGTTTTAGCGAGTGATTGATCGAGTGAGTGACTGGATGTGTTACAGAGTGCCACTGAATAAGTATTTTAGTGAGTGAATAACCGAGTGTCTAAGTGTGACTATTGAGTGTGTTACAGTCACTGAATTAGTGTTTGAGTGAGTGAGTGCGACTATTGAGTGTCACTGAATGAGTGTTTTAGTGAATGAGCGAGCGAGTAGCTGAGTGTGTCTTTTGATAGTGTCTATTGAGTGTGTCACAGTGTCACTGAATGAGTGAGTGAGTGCCTGAATTTGACTATTGAGTGTGTCACAGAGTGTCACTGAATTAGTGTTTTAGTGAGCGAGCGAGTGGCTGAGTGGTTAGTTATTGAGTGTGTCTATTGAGTGTATGGCAGTGTCACTGAATGAGCGTTTTCGCGAGTGAGTGAATAACCGAGTGTCTGAGTGTGACTATTAAGTGTGTCACAGAGTGCCACTTAATAATTGTTCGTGAGTGAGTGATCGAGTGAGTGGCTGAGTGTGACTATTGAGTGTTTCACATTGTGAGTGTTTCACCAACTGTTTTTTGTGTTGCAGATTGTGGGAGAGGTTCTCAAACAACTCACTGAGGACAAATGTAAGAACTGGCTGTGAAAATTACACATTCCTATGGCAGGGCCCAGTCTGGAGACCAACACCAACAGATGGACGGTGGTGATGGCGATTGTGATGGTCATGAGGTGGTGATTGTGATGGTGGGGAGCGGAAGTGTAGCGGTTAGAGCGCTGCACTACGAACCCGGCGACCTGAGCTCGATTCCTGCTCACAGCTAACACCAGTGACGATTATCTGATCAGGTCCTGAGCCTCAAATGATTACCTGGTGCGATGTGTCAACATCGCCACAAGGGGAGGCAATGGCGGCCGGGCGTGATGCTGGCCACCCACCCCCTCGTGTGCCGTGTCGGCCTACATAGGTGCTGCTCGCTAGCAGCACTTGCCCCAATAGTCTATTAATGCTATACGGGGGTTCTTTATCTTTGGTAGTAGCGATGTTACTGTGTGTCGTGTCTCTCCCTGCCTCTCCGTGTCTGCGTAATTTGGGTAGCACTGCTCGGTAAAATAAACCCCCCACCTCGGTGGTTGCCTGTTGGTAACGCTGTGGTGGCTGTGAGCAATGCCAATCCATTGTTGCCCTCATGGTGCTCACAGCCGCCACAGTGGCCAACGTTGGCTCTGGACCGGCGCCAGGGGCTTGTGACCCCTCGACCTTAAATTTAATTACCACTAAAACTACAAATAAAATATATCAACCGTTTTCCGTTACGAGACGTCTGCAAGTTGCCGGGTGGTGGGTGTCCCCTTCACTGCTGAATCTCAAGGCGCGAGTGGTTCAGCGTCAATTTTATATAGAGGCGTAGTAGCGACGTTTTTATGAGGACATTGTTACCGCAGAGAACCGTAGCGACACGACCGCTGTACTCTACGATAGCTGGTGCCAAACTGTGGCACACACCCCTCCAGAATGGCCTTGTGGTGAGCCTTGGTACCGATAAAGTTATTTTATTTTAGTTTTAATTGGAAGAAAAAACGATAATGTACACAAACGCCGTCGGGAGATGGAGCGGTATTGCCTGGACCTCTGGATTACAAGAGGGTCCGGTGGATTGGTTCTTCCTCCTTGACGCGTGGATAGTCCTGCACACAGGGCAGGAAACTTCCAAACAACAGGGAGTGGCTCTGCTTCTGAACAAAAGAATGAAGGGGGTTTGGGAGTGTGGAGGTGAGGTGTGGGAAGCTGTGAGTCCAAAGCGACTGTGGGCTTGCCTCCCCATCACCAGGAGTTGGAAGAATGGTGGTGGTGGTGGTTGGTTTACACCCCCACTGAAGATGAACACCATTGGAGGAATGTAGGCAAGGCTGATTAGTCGCATGCCTTCTATGACCTGTCACAGGTGCTAGCTAAAGTGGCTCTTGGGATAGTGACTATCAGGTGACTTCAATGCCTGGTTTAGATGCAGTTATGTGGGCCAGATTGATTGGATTGCATGGGCCAGATCAGCTCAATAACAACGGTAGGAGGCTGTTAGACTTCTGTGCAGCTTATAGGTTTGTAAACACCAACACGTTCCAGCATTGGCGCATCCACACAACTACATGGGTGCATACCGGGTCTAAGCAAGAACATCTGCTGGACTAGATAGTGATACGAGAATTCGGCCCATGTCCTTGACACCAGGATCTATCGTGGTGCTGCTCTGCCCATTGACCATCAGCTTGCCATCTGGAAAATGCACCTGCCATTTTTCCACTCCGGTGGTAGGTGTCCATTTAGGACCCCATTCAAACCCAAAGTGGCGTGTTCCCAGCTAGATGATGAAAGTCGCAAGCGAGAATTTCATCATCGCTTGCAGCTGGGGTTGACATGGTTCCCCCTTCCTGATGCCGAGGGGAAATGGGTGAGGTTCAGGACTTGCTCTTGCAGATTCTATTGGCTGCATGAAGTACGTGGTCCAGACCTCCCAAGAGACCCTGGCTGACAAGAAGTGTTCTGGCTAGTTGAGAAAAAGCAGTGTACGCACTCCCACCATCTACAGCATCCCACAGAGAATGAGGAGGCTCAGTGTGGCCTTTGCTTGGAGGTTCGGTTAGCCGTGTAGTCACAGAGTGGTGGTCGCGGATTGTTATGGAGATGGAAAGTGCTTCCGTAGCTCGCGATCACAAATCACTCTTTAATTCCATTAAAAAGTAACTTTTAGTGCCACACCTATCACGATCCTTAAGGATTTGCTGAGCAATTATATGAGTAACTTGGGGGAAGGGAAATCCCTCAGCCCAGATAACATGGAGGCAAGGTTGGGATAACCCTGCGCTGGGACTGCTGTACCTCAAATATTGGAGATATTTGGCTTCCATCATTTGGGGAAGTACAAAGAGCAATCAAGATCCTGAGACCAGGTAAAGTGTCGGCCAGAGATGATCTCCCAAGTGAACCGCTGAGGGAGGGTGGCATTTGTGTGCAGACTCTCCTATGTAATATCAATACAACTGTCTGGACCACAGGACGGGTTCCGCAGATTGGAAGGATGCCCTGGTGGTCCCCCTCTTTAAGAAAGGGCACCACACAGACTGTAAAAACTTCAGGGGCATTTCCCTCCTCGGTGTGCCGGGAAAGTTCCTGGCAAGGATTTTTAACATTGCCTTGCCAGGCACGCTGAGGAGAGGCTTGCGGGGCCCCAATGTGGTTTCAGGCCAGGGTGGACCTGCACGGACGCCATTTTATGTGTCCGTCTGCTACAGCAGATGTGAAGGGAATATCTAACAGGACCAGCATTTCTGCTTTATTAACCTGATCAAGGCCTATGATACCATCATAATGCCAGGGCTCTGGATTCTCGTGCTGCTGGAGTCCCTAATTCTCTGCTCACAATCTTTAAGGGCCTTCATGATGGTTGGCAGGCCTGGGTAAAGATGCATAGCCTGGAGTCAAGAGCCATTCCCTATTCACCTTGGGGTGTGACAGGGATGTCCTCTGTCCCATGTTCTATTGAACATCATCTTTGACTATGTACTAGAGGTATTTCCATCTGGTACATATATAATGGGAGGCTGATCGATGCCCGGGTCAAGGGATGGCTCCCTATTAATAAACCATGTTACATATGCTGATGATCTGTTGATTACTGCTCACTCTGTGAAGGCGTTGGAGGCGCTGCTGTTGAACCTGGAGCGTGCCACTAAGAGATGGGGCCTTACCATCAGCCCCACCAAAACTAAGCACTTGCCTGGGTGTTTTATACATTATCAAATACTCCCACCCCCTCAACTCCCCATGAGTAGATGGGGCAGTTGTGGAGAGAGTGGAGTAGTTGCCGTACCTGGGCAGTGTGCTTATGACCAAATCTGGTTTGGCAGCGGAGGTCTCACTCAGAATTCGTCTGGTGACATCTCTTCATTGGCTGCGTAACGCTGTGTGAACGCTACCTGGCCTGTCGCTCCACATGAAGCTTCGGGTCTTTTCGGCCATAGTCATGCCCTCCCTTCTCTATGCTCGCGAAACATTGAGACCTCTCACTCAGAATCTTTATTTAGACTGGAGGAATGGAACCTCTGCGCTGGTTTGAAACATTCAGGCTGGCCTGCCTACGATCCACCCTGGGTTTAACCCGGATGGAGGACGAAGGAGCAATACTCAGAAGAACGAGCAGAACTCCAGACGGCGGAAACGCAAGAAATTGGAGGGCGGAGGAGCGACGCTCAGAACAACGAGCGGAGCGCTGGGTGGCTAAAGCACAGCAGGTTGGCACAGTAGGGAGCACAGGTGGTGCATCAGCCAGTCATCTCAGTCAGTCAACCCATGGCACCTGGGTTCTGTCCCATGACCTCCTTTTGGCGAGCCTTCGACACTGCTCGTGGCCTCAAAGTGCACCTGGCCTGGCACAAGCACCGTGGTGATGTCACCACCACCTAGTGGTGTTGTTGTGGTGTGTACGTGTATGTCTGTGAGTGAGAATGCTGGCCTGTCTGTGTCCCAGGTATTTGGATGTTCACGATATTGACAATGATTTCTCTCCCTCTGTGTCTCAGTTATCGTGAAGGCTACCAATGGGCCTCGCTATGTGGTCGGATGTCGCAGACAGGTGACTATATAACTATACATTATATTAATTTTACTAGGTAAGGCCCACTGAGCTATGTAGCTGTTTTTCAGAAGTCACCTGGCCATCACAAATGATCGCTCAACGAAGTGGCTTATCACGTGGACATTTATAGAAGCCAAATACCCTGAAACGCATGACGTTGATTCTAAATGTGGATGGAAAAACTGGAGGACCCGGAGAAAAATCCATGTGACCACGGTTTAGAGAGAGACGCAGCCTCTAAAGATACAGCAGCAAGCATCGGTCAGGGTTCTGATCGAACCCATGTCCTCCTGCATACCAGGCGAGGTAGTCGACATCTCGCCAAAGCGGGACAGAGCACTCCACATGTGCTGTGTGTCCCCTGTTTGCCTCGTGTGTGCTGTGTGTGCTTTGTGTCCCCGTGCGTGCTGTGTGTGCTTTGTCCCCATGTGTGCTGTGTGTCCCGTGTAGGATGTGTCCCGTGTGTGCTGTGTGTCCCCGTGTGTGCTGTGTGTGCTGTGTGTTATGTGTCCCCATGTGTGCTGTGTGTGCCGTGCAGGCTTCGTCCCATGTGTGCCGTGTGTGCTGTGTGTCTTTAGGGGAGCTGTGGTGCAGCGGTTAGCGCTGTGCTGCGCGACGAACCCCGGCAGAGACCCAAAGTTCGATTCCCGCTCACTACCGCCACCAACACCATCAGTGATAGCGATTATCCAAACCGGTCCTGGGCCTCCCCTAGGTCCACTCGGCCCTCAAGTGATTATCCGGTGTAGCGGTGTGTGTAGTAAACGTCACCACTGTGGAGACGAGGGCGACCGGGCGTGGTGCAGGCCACCCACCCCTCGGCCTTCATAGGCGCTGCTCCTCACTAACAGCACTTGCCCCAACAGTCTGTTACAGGCTAAGCGGGGGACCTTTGTCTTTGTGTTGGGTAGTGGTGGTGCATTGGATAGTGACAGCAAATATCAGTACCAGTCATGGGCCTCCTCTAGGAAGACTTGGCCTCAACATAAGCGCCTCCAGTTTGTTAAACGTCAGCACTGGGAGGCAATGGTGGCCAGGTATGGTGCTGGTCACACCACTCCCTCATGTGCTTCTATTTCTGCACCTCTCACTGTATCTGCGTATATATCTTCATGTCTGTCTCTCTGTATCTGTGTGTATATTTTTCTCAGTATATCATATATCTCTGTATATGTCTATCTCTGTGTCTATATATATGTCTGCATGTTTCCATCGTTCTCGATATCTATGTATGTCTCAGTGTGACTAGATATATCTCTCAGTATCTGTCTCTCTGTAGATCTCCGTATATCTGTCTGTCTCTGTAGCTGGACAAGTCAAAGTTGAAGGCCGGAACCCGAGTGGCCCTGGACATGACCACGCTGACCATCATGAGGTGGGGTCACCCAGTGCTGCCCACTGGATCTCCTGCCCTTCCCATGTGAATGTGGAATTTCCCAGCCAGGGTTAAAGCTGCTCCTCTTCCACTGTATCATCATCATTGCAATCATCACCATCATCACAACCACCATCATCACCATCGTCATATCCTAGTGGCTGAGTGAGTGGTTGGGTGGGTGGTTGAGTGATTGGCTTAACGAGCGAGCGAGTGGCTGAGTGAGTGGCTGAGTGAGTGGCTGAGTGAGTGGCTGAGTGAGTGGCTGAGTGAGTGGGTGTGTGGGTGGGTAAGCGAGTGAGTGGGTCGGTGGTTGAGTGAGTGGATCGGTGGTTGAGCGAGTGGGTCGGTGGTTGAGTGAGTGGGTGGTTGAGTGGTTGAGTGAGTGGCTGAGCGAGTGAGTGGATGAGTGGGTGGGTGGTTGAGCGAGTAAGTGGGTGGGTGAGTGGTGGAGTAAGTGGCTGAGTGGTGGAGTAAGTGGCTGAGCGAGTAAGCGAGTGGGTGTGCGGGTGGGTAAGCGAGTGGGTGGGTGGTTGAGCGAGTGAGTGGGTGAGTGGTGGAGTGAGTGGCTTTACGAGTGAGTGAGTGGGGGGGGGTGTTGAGTGATTGGTTGAGCGAGCGAGTGGGTGGGTGGGTGAATGAGTGGGTGAGTGGGTGGGTGGGTGAATGAGTGGGTGAATTGGTGAGTGGGTGAATTGGTGAGTGGGTGGGTGAGCGAGTAAGTGAGTGGGGGGGGGGGTGATTGGCTGAGCGAGTGAGTGGCTAACGAGGGAGTGGCTGAGCGAGTGAGTGGCTGAGCGAGTGAGTGGCTGAGCGAGTGAGTGGGGGGGTGGTTGAGTGATTGGCTGAGTGAGTGGGTGGGTGAATGAGTGGGTGAGTTGGTGAGTGGGGAGGGGGTGTTGAGTGATTGGCTGAGCGAGTGAGTGGGTGGGTGAATGAGTGGGTGAGTTAGTGAGTGGGTGGGTGAGTTGGTGAGTGGGTGGGTGAGCGAGGCCCCACCGTGGTTCTCCCCAGGTACCTGCCCAGAGAGGTGGATCCGCTGGTGTACAACATGTCCCACGAAGACCCGGGCCAGGTCTCCTACTCGGAGATCGGGGGGCTCACCGAGCAGATCCGGGAACTCCGAGAGGTGAGCAGCCCCCCCCCCCCCTCCACCTCACTCGCACAAAGACTCACAGAGACACACACGGCCACAGACTCTCAGTCTCACTCAGTCACACAGAGACTCCCAATGACACACGTAGACTCTCACAGACTAACTCGGGCTTACTCGCTTACTCAAACTCCCAGATACACGCATACTCAAGACTCGTGCAGACTCACACACACAGAGACTCACAGAGACACATTCATACTCACAGACTCTCACAGGCTCACTCAGACTCACTCACTCAGACTCAGAGACACACACGCAAACTCAAGACTTGCACAGACTCACTCAGACTCACTCACTTACACAGAGATGCATGTAGATCCTCAGTCTCACGTAGACTCACTCAGACTCACCCACTCACCCAGAGAGACACGCAGACTCTGTCTCAGACTCACAGACTCAGGCAGACTCATAGGCTCGCACGCTCACAGTCTCATGCGCGTGCGAGTGAGCAGGTGATCGAGCTGCAGACTCACCACATGCAGACTCGCCACACACAGACTCCCACATTCACAGTTTCACTCGCATGTGAGCGAGCAAGTGATTGAGCTGCAGACTCAAACGCAGACTCACCACATGTAGACTTAATACACGCAGACTCACACAACTCACACACTCAGACCCTTACACAGAGACTCACATGCTCAGAGAGTATCACATGTTCGCAGTCTCACGTGCGTGGGAGTGAGCAGGTGATTGAGCAGCAAACTCACCACACGCAGGCTCATTCAGAGACTCGCACACTCACAGACTCACGCAGAGACTCGCGCACTCACAGACTCGCACCCAGTGACTCGCACACTCACAGACTCACGCAGAGACTCGCACACTCACAGACTCGCACCCAGTGACTCGCACACTCACAGACTCGCACGCAGAGACTCGCACACTCACAGACTCTCACGTGCGTGTGAGTGAGCAGGTGATTGAGCTGCCGCTGCTCAACCCGGAGCTGTTCCAGCGCGTGGGGATCACCCCCCCCAAGGGGTGCCTCCTATACGGGCCCCCCGGTAACCAACACGCCGGGCCCCCCCCGCTCCGCCCCACCCACCTGTAAACAATGCACGCACGAACACGTATATGTGCGTGTGCACGTGAGTATGCGCATGTTTACATGTGTGTATATACGTGTGTGTATCTGTGCGTATGTACGTGTCTGTATAAGTGTGTGTGTATACGTGTGTGTGTGTTGTTTACGTGTTTGTGTTGTTTACGTGTGTATACGTGTGTGTGTGTTTACGTGTGTGTGTGTGTGTTTTCGTGTGTGTGTTTACGTGTGTGTATGTTGTTTACGTGTATGTGTGTTGTTTACGTGTTTGTGCGTGTTTACGTGTTTGTGTGTGTATACGTGTGTGTGTGTGTTTACGTGTGTGTGTTTTCCAGGCACTGGTAAAACTCTGTTAGCCAGGGCCGTGGCGAGCCAGCTTGACTGCAACTTCCTCAAGGTGAACCCCAGTCGCACTCATTCACACTCACCCACCCACCTACCCACTCACCCACCCACCTACCCACCCACCCACCTACCCACCCACCCACCCACCTACCCACCCACCTACCCACCCACCCACCTACCTACCCACCTACCCACCCACCTACCCACCCACCTACCCACCCACTTACCCACCCACTCACCCACCCACCTACCCACTCACTCACCCACCTACCCACTCACTCACCCACCCACCTACTCACCTATCCACTCACTCATCCACCCACCTTCCTACCCACTCACTCACCCACCCACCTACCCACTCACTCACCCACCAACCTACCCACTCACTCACCCACCCACCTACCCACTCACTCATCCACCCACCCACCTACCCACTCACTCACCCACCCACCCATGCACTCACTCACCCACCTACCCATTCACTCACTCACTGACCCACCCACCCACTTACCCACTCACCCACCATCATCACTCACTCACCCACTCACCCACTCACCCACTGACCCTCACCAGTCACTCAGCTACCCACCCACTCACCCTCACCATGCACCCACCCACACTCACCACTCACACAGAGGCACGCAGACGCTCAGTCTCACACAGACTAAGACTCACAGACTCACTCGCACACAGAGACACATACAGACTCGAGACTCACATAGACTCACTCAGACTCACTCACACAGAGGCACACAAAGACACATGCAGACTGTCTCACGTAGACTCACGCAGACTCTGACTCACCCACTTACACAGAGACACGCGTAGACTCTCACAGTCTCACAAAGACTCATTCACACACGCATCGAGACTCGGAGAGACATGCAGACTCACTCACCCACTTACCCACCCCGTGTCCCCCGTGTCCAGGTGGTGTCCAGCGCCATAGTGGACAAGTACATTGGGGAGAGCGCACGACTTATTCGCGAGATGTTCAACTTCGCCCGCGATCACCAACCCTGCATCATCTTCATGGACGAGATCGACGCTATCGGTGAGTGAGAGAAAGAGAGATGCACATGCTCAGAGGTACAGGCATACAGATAACCCTGAGATACACACACAGATAACACTGAGATACACACAGATACACTAAGATACACACACAGATACACTGAGATACACACACAGATAACCCTGAGATACACACGCAGATACACTGAGATACACACGCAGATAACCCTGAGATACACACGCAGATACACTGAGATACACACGCAGATAACCCTGAGATACACACAGATACACTGAGATACACACGCAGATAACGCTGAGATACACACACAGATACACTGAGATACACACGCAGATAACACTGATATATACACACACAGATACACTGAGATACACACACAGATACACTGAGATACACAGGCAGATAACCCTGAGATACACACGCAGATAACACTGATATATACACAGATACACTGAGATACACACACAGATACACTGAGATACACACACAGATAACGCTGAGATACACACACAGATACACTGAGATACACACGCAGATAACCCTGAGATACACACAGATACACTGAGATACACAGGCAGATAACACTGAGATACACACAGATAACCCTGAGATACACACGCAGATAACCCTGAGATACACACAGATACACTGAGATACACAGGCAGATAACCCTGAGATACACACAGATACACTGAGATACACACACAGATAGCCCTGAGATACACACAGATACACTGAGATACACACACAGATAACACTGAGATACACACGCAGATAACACTGAGATACACAGGCAGATAACGCTGAGATACACACACAGATACACTGAGATATACACGCAGATAACACTGATATACACACACAGATACACTGAGATACACAGGCAGATAACGCTGATATATACACACACAGATACACTGAGATACACACACAGATAACACTGATATACACACACACAGATACACTAAGATACACAGGCAGATAACCCTGAGATACACACACAGATACACTGAGATACACACAGATACACTGAGATACACACAGATACACTGAGATACACAGGCAGATAACACTGAGATACACACAGATAACCCTGAGATACACACGCAGATAACCCTGAGATACACACAGATACACTGAGATACACAGGCAGATAACCCTGAGATACACACAGATACACTGAGATACACACACAGATAACCCTGAGATACACACAGATACACTGAGATACACACACAGATAACACTGAGATACACACGCAGATAACACTGAGATACACAGGCAGATAACGCTGAGATACACACACAGATACACTGAGGTACACACGCAGATAACACTGATATACACACACATATACACTGAGATACACAGGCAGATAACGCTGATATATACACACACAGATACACTCAGATACACACACAGATAACACTGATATACACACACACTGAGATACACAGGCAGATAACCCTGAGATACACACACAGATACACTGAGATACACACATACACTGAGATACACACAGATACACTGAGATACACACAGATACACTGAGATACACAGGCAGATAACACAGATACACACACAGATACACTGCAGATGCACACAAATACACTGAGATATAAACAGAGATACACAAAGGTCCTTACACAGATACATGCGCACAGATACAAAGACACACACACACACATACGCACAGATACACATGCACAGAGATACAGAAGGAGATATGCACATGCACAGAGATACACGCTAAGAGATACACACGGAGATACGCAGAGATTGACACACACAAGTACACACCGAGACATACGCATACAGACACACCGTGCTACGAACCTGGAAACCCAAGTTCGATTCCCACTCAAGACCAACAACACCGGTGGAGAATATTTGAACCGGTCCTGGGGTTTACCTAGGTCAACTCAGCCTTAATTAATCCATGGTACGTTGTGTAACATTAGCATGGGGGGGGGAGACAGAGGTGGCCGTACCTGGTGCTGACCACACCACCTCAAAGCTGCTGCTACTCGCTAACAGCACTTCGCGAGTAGCAGTACGGTGCAGTGGCTAGGAGATGTTAACTACCTTGCCTGGTATGCAGGAGATTGTGGGTTCGATACCAACCCTGACACAATGGTGGCCCAGGAGATGTTAACTACTTCGCCTGGTATACAGGAGTTTGTGGGTTCGATACCAACCCTGATGCCTGTATATTTGTAGGTTGCATGTTCTCACTGTGGCGATGTAGATCATTCTCCAGGTCTTCCGGTTTTTCCCCTCTATGTTTAGAGTATTTGGCTGCAATACATTTCCACGTGATGATTAGCCGCTCCGTTGAGCTCAGTAGGCCTTACCTGGAAAAATAAAACATTTCGTTTTCAGCACTTGCCACAACAGACTGTTAAAGGCTACACGGGGTGTCTTTGTGTGTAGGTGGGCGTCGCTTCTCAGAGGGGACATCAGCTGACAGAGAGATCCAGAGAACTCTGATGGAGGTAAGGGCGTGAGAGTGAGTGAGACGGAGTGTGAGAGAGTTGCAGGTGAGAATTTCATCATCGCCTGCAGCTGGGATTGGCATCGTCCCCCCCCTCCTGATGCCAAGGGGAAATGGGTGAGGTTCAGGGCTGTAGCACATTGCAGCTGCAATGGCTGCTTTGGGTACGCAATCCAGAACTCCCCAGAGATCCTGGCTGTCTTCAGCATCCCACGTCAGAGAATGAGGAGGCTTACCGCAGCCTTCGCTTGGAGGTTCGGAGAGCCGTGTAGCGCTGCAAGGATCAGTGTTGCGTGCGGGTTGCTGAGGACATGGAATCTGCCTCAGTAGCCCACGATCACAAATCATTATTTAACTCCATCAAAAAAAGTAACTTGCAGTGCCACACCTAATTACCATCCTTAAGGGAAAGAAAGATGATCCAATCTCTGACCCCCAGAAACTGCTTTGCAGGTTTTATCAGCATTTCGGAGGTCTTGGGGGAGGGGAAATCCCTCGGCCCATAAAACATCACGAGACAGGGTGGGGATGACTGCTGGGGCAGCTGTACCTGAAATATTGGAGGAAGTAACTGCACCCTGTGAGTAGGTGACTGATGTCTCATCTGTTGAGGAAGCAGGAAGATTGATCTAATCTGAGACCAGGAAAAGCAACAGGCAGAGATGATCTCCCAAACGAACCGCTGAGGGAGGGTGGCATTTGTGTGCAGACTGCCCTTTGTGATACAGTGAGGGAAAAAAAGTATTTGATCCCCTGCTGATTTTGTACGTTTGCCCACTGACAAAGAAATGATCAGTCTATAATTTTAATGGTAGTTTTATTTTAACAGTGAGAGTCAGAATAACAACAAAAAAATCCAGAAAAACGCATGTCAAAAATGTTATAAATTGATTTGCATTTTAATGAGGGAAATAAGTACTTGACCCCTCTGCAAAACATGACTTAGTACTTGGTGGCAAAACCCCTGTTGGCAATCGCAGAGGTCAGACGTTTCTTGTAGTTGGCCACCAGGTTTGCACACATCTCAGGAGGGATTTTGTCCCACTCCTCTTTGCAGATCTTCTCCAAGTCATTAAGGTTTCGAGGCGGACGTTTGGCAACTCGAACCTTCAGCTCCCTCCACAGATTTGCTATGGGATTAAGGTCTGGAGACTGGCTAGGCCACTTCAGGACCTTAATGTGCTTCTTCTTGAGCCACTCCTTTGTTGCCTTGGCCGTGTGTTTTGGGTCATTGTCATGCTGGAATACCCATCTATGACCCATTTTCAATGCCCTGGCTGAGGGAAGGAGGTTCTCACCCAAGATTTGACGGTACATGGCCCCGTCCATCGTCCCTTTGATGCGGTGAGGTTGTCCTGTCCCCTTAGAAAAACACCCCCAAAGCATAATGTTTCCACCTCCATGTTTGACGGTGGGGATGGTGTTCTTGGGGTCATTGGCAGCATTCCTCCTCCTCCAAACACGGCGAGTTGAGTTGATGCCAAAGAGCTCCATTTTGGTCTTATCTGACCACAACACTTTCACCCAGTTGTCCTCTGAATCATTCAGATGTTCATTGGCAAACTTAAGACGGGCATGTATATGTGTTTTTTGAGCAGGGGTACCTTGCGGGCGCTGCAGGATTTCAGTCCTTCACGGCGTGGTGTGTTACCAATTGTTTTATTGGTGACTGGTCCCAGCTGCCTTGAGATCATTGACAAGATCTTCCCGTGTAGTTCTGGGCTGATTCCTCACCATTCTCATGATCATTGCAACTCCACGAGGTGGGATCTTGCATGGATCCCCAGGCCGAGGGAGACTGACAGTTATTTTGTGTTTTTTCCATCTGCGAATTATTGCACCAACTGTTGTCACCTTAAATTTTGATTTAAAGCTTTTGTGACTGCAGTAATTCATATTCTTAGTTTTTTCGGTGAAGTCACGTTGAAGAGAAACAACAAAATAACAAAATATATATAAAACAATAAAAAATTATCACGACGTTTCGACCATAACTCAAACGGTCATCATCAGGTGTGTTGGTTTGCATAAATTTATTTTTAAACGGCACATTTATTTATTTATAAAAAACGTTGGCGTCACGCAGCGATTGGCAGTTTGCCCAGGACTAGTCCATCTATTTTTTTTTTGAAAAGAGGAGGGGGGAATTTCAACCGAGAAGATGGATTCTATCTTAGCAATCATTGGAAAGATTTGATAAATCATTTCAGTTCTTGATTGATTGTTCACGCTTACAGTGGCTTTCAGACAGCATACATTATAAAAAATTTCGTCTCCCCCCTCCTCTTTTCAAAAAAAAAATAGATGGACTAGTCCTGGGCAAACTGCCAATCGCTGCGCGTGACGCCAACGTTTTTTTATAAATAAATAAATGTGCCGTTTAAAAATAAATTTATGCAAACCAACACACCTGATGATGACCGTTTGAGTTATGGTCGAAACGTCGTGAGAATTGTTTTTATTGTTTTATATATATTTTGTTATTTTGTTGTTTCTCTTCAACGTGACTTTAAATTTATGCAAACCGACACACCTGATGATGACCGTTTGAGTTATGGTCGAAACGTCGTGAGAATTTTTTATTGTTTTATATATATTTTGTTATTTTGTTGTTTCTCTTCAACGTGACTTTACCGAAAAAACTAAGAACAATAAAGATCAGTCGAGCGGCATTATCTTTTCATCATCTGCGTAACGCTGTCTGGAATTTACCTGACCTGTTGCTCCGCACGTAGCTTTGGCTCCTCTAGGCCAAAATTCAGGCTGTTCTGCCTATGATCCATCCTGGGTTTAACCAGGGTGGATTTGGTGAGGAGCTCACAGATCTTTCAAAGATCTGGATACAGTCCCATAATCAGTGAGCTACGGCAAGTGAGGCTGCGTTGGCTGGGTCCATGTAGCCTGCATCCCCGGCCACCGCATGCTCAAGCAGCTTCTGTTTGGCTGTATTGAGGGGGCTAAATAGGCATGGCACTAGTTAGAGAATTGATGGAGCTGATGTGGTACAGGAGGATCTGTAACTGAGTGGACTTGCCGAAACCTGGTACCAGCGGTGTTAAGATTGGCCTCTGTGGAGGAGGCTCGTGAAGGACGCTACTGGGCAGTTGGAGGCAGTCGCCCCCCAACTGCGGAGGAGGAATGCTCACAACAACGAGCAGAGCACTGGGCGGCGAAATACAGCACGGTGGCACAGAAGGGGGCATAGGTGGTGTGCATCTTCCAGTCATCTCTGGCAGTCCTACGGCCACCTGCATCTAGTCTATCACAGAATATAACCCACAGCGTTGAACTCCTGGCAGCAAAAGTCTCAAGGTGCACCTAGCTTGGCACAAGCGCCATGGTGAATGTCACCGCCACTCATTGGCGAATTGCGTCTGTTGTGCACATTAGTATATACGCATATGTAAATGCATGTTTATATATAAACTATACATATATATACATACGTGTGTGTATCTCTATACCGTGGCTGCATGTGCACGCCTACAGCTGCTGAACCAGATGGATGGGTTCGACACACTGGGCAAGGTGAAGATGATCATGGCCACGAACCGTCCGGACACCCTGGACCCTGCGCTGCTGCGTCCTGGCCGCCTGGACCGCAAGATCCGTGAGTGACACACAGACTAGCACACTTACTCGCGCACAGACTCATGCACAGACTCATGCACAGACTCATGCACAGACTCATGCACAGACTCATGCACAGACTCATGCACAGACTCATGCACAGACTCATGCACAGACTCATGCACAGACTCATGCACAGACTCATGCACAGACTCAACAACAACCGCCATTTTCCACTAAGTGGCGATGACGGCACCATGGCGCTTGCGCCAGGCTATGTGCAAGTTAAGGCCACGTGAAGTGTCAAACCCCCGCTTGCAGGAGGTCACGTGGCAGACCCAGGTGCCATGGGTTGCCTGACTGATATGACTGGCTGATGCACCACCTGTGCCCCCTACTGTGTCAACTTACCGTGCTTCAGCCACGCGGCGCTCCGCTCGTTGTGAGCGTGCTTCCTCTGTCCTTCGTTGTTGCTGGAATGCGACTCCCTCCAACTGCCCAGTCGCATCCTTCTCGAGGCTCCTCCACAGAGGCGGAGCTTGACATCGCTGGTACCAGTTTTCAGCAAGACCACTCAGCTCCACATCCTCCTGTACCACATCACTCCATCTCCTCTCTAACCCGTGCCGCACCCGTTTAGCCCCCTCTATCCGGCCGAATAAAAGCTGTTTCGGCATGCGGTGGCCGGGCATGCGGGTTGCATGACCCAGCCATTGCAACCTTGACTGCCGGAGGAGCTCACTGATAGGAATGTCTCCAGATCTTTCAAGGATTTGTGAGCTGACGCAATCCAGGATGGATCGTTGACAGGCCAGCCTAAATGTTTCTAACCGCTGAAAATGTTTCATTAGGGGGTCCATGTTTTGCAAGCATAGAGAAGGGAGGGAATGACCGTGTTCGAGAAGACTTGAAGCTTCGTGTGGAGGGACAGACCAGGTAGCTTCCACACAGCATTACGCAGCCGATAAAATTGCAATGCCGCTCGGCTGGTTCGGAGTGAGACCTCTGCTGCCCAGGTATGGAAAACTGTCTACTATCCACAACTGCCCCATCACCAATTGGGAGTTGTGGTGGTGGAATGGTTGATGGTAAAAAAATACCCAGGCAGGTGTTTAGTTTTGGTGGGGCTGATGGTAAGGCCCCACCTCTGAGTGGCATGCTCCAGGTTCAGCAGCAACACTCTGAGTGAGCAACACTCTGAGTGAGCAGCAATCACCAGATTATCGGCAGATATAACATGGTTGACCAATAGGGAGCCATCCTTTGAACGCACCCGGGCATCGATTAACCTCCCATTGTATCTGTTCCAGATTGAAATTCCTCCAGTACAGCCATCAAAGGCTTCACGAACTAGATGTTAAATTCTAGATTTGAAGCTTTCGTGACTGCAAGGATTTATACTCTTTGATTTTTTTCGGTAAACTCACGTAGGCAAAAGAAAAGAAAACTAAATTAAATCACGACGTTTCGGAGGCAACACAAGCTTCCGTCTTCAGCTGGAACAGTCACAGCAGAATAGCTGTACCAAGTCGGGAGCTGTTGAGACGACTGGGATTATAGACAGGTTAAGAGGCGGGGAGGAGCCAGAAAGGGATGTGGGTGGGGGGGAGGGCTGGGTTAAGCCGCCTTTTGTTATGCTGCAAGGGGTGTTTGGGGGGAGCGATGGCGCGCCGCACGAAAGCAATTACAACCCCATTTTTGTTAGAAAGCAATGGAAATGGCTGTACAATTATAAGGCAGCTAAAGTTTGACATACAACCCACTGAGAGTAATGGAAATGGCTGTACAATTATAAGGCAGCTAAAGTTTGACATACAACCCACTGAGAGTAATGGAAATGGCTGTACAATTATAAGGCAGCTAACGTTTGGCTTCGTTTATAACATGTTTCCAATGGTTGCTCAATTTGAAACCATCCTCTCGGTTGAAGTTGTGTCTATGTTTGCATATCTGGATGGCTTCATGGGCAAATCTTTGGTAATAACCAGGAGGTTTGCAGAGAACTTTGGTATCGGAGAAAACAATGTCATGAGAACCCGCTGTGTTGAAACAATTTGTTCTGCCGTGTTTCAAATCTGATTTGTGCTCGCGAATTAGGTCAGAAATATGTCGTTTCGTCTATATCGGGGAGACGAAACGACATTTCTGACCAAATCCGCGAGCACAAATCAGATTTGAAACACGACAGAACAAATAATTCACCACTAAGTGGCGGTGACGTCACCACGGCGCTTGTGCCAGGCTATATGCATGTTAATACCACGTGAAGTGTCGAACGCCCGCTGGCAGGAGGTCACGGGGCAGACCCAGATGCCATGGGTTGACTGAGATGACTGGCTGATGCACCACCTGTGCCCCCTACTGTGCCAACAGAGACTCGCACAAAGGCTCACACTCACAGACTCTCACGTGCGTGTGAGCGAGCAGGTGATCTAGCTGCAGACTCGCACGCAGACTCGCATAGACTCACACAGACTCACAGAGAGACTCAGATGTGTTGTGTATCATGTTGTGTGTGTTGCTTGCATTGTGTTGTGTGTGTTGTGTATGGGGAGCGGTAGTGCAGCGGTTAGCGCTATGCTGTGCTATGAACCCGGCGACCCGAGTTCGATTCCCACTCATGGCCAACACCAGTGACGATTATCTTAACCGGTCCTGGGCATCCCCTAGGTCGACTCAGCCTAAAATGACGAACTGGTGTGGTGTGTCATAAACATCGCCACAGGGGAGACAAAGGCGGCTGCGAGTGGTGCTGGCCACCCTCCCCCTTGTGTGCCGTGCCGGCCTTCATAGGTACCACTACTCGCTAACAGCACTTGCCCCAACAGGCTTTTGCAGGCTATACAGTGGGTCTTTATCTTTGTTGTGTGTATATTGTGCGTGTTGTGTGTACAGCGTGTGTCGTGTGTGCTGTGTATCGTGTGTGTAATATGTATATTGTGTGGTATTTTGAAAATCGTGTGGTATCGTGTGTTTATCATGCGTGTATACCATGTGGCATTGTGTAGTGTGTGTTGTGTTTATATTGTGTGACTAGCCTTATGCCCGTCCAAGGACCGGTGTATTTCAGTAAATCTGAAACCTGCAAGTGGAAATCAGACCACGACGTGATATTCATTGCAACAATTAATGTGCAGTGACAGACTTATTTCATTAAAAGGTTATAATCCCTTGTTCGTCATGACACACCCTTTTTACTTCGATGTCTCAACAGCGTTACGGAGACCACGTGATGTGGTGAGGGTTCTGTCTTTGTAGTGAGGGTTGTAAGTTGACGCCGAGGAGGGGGGAGGAGGCGCCTCGGCCCCCCATGTGGAGTGACGTCACCCGCTAATTATTATTAATGGGGGGGGGGGGGGGTGTCAGTTTGGAAGACGTCACCTCTTCATGATTGTTAATGAAGGGGGCTGTTCGATGTGGAGTGACGTCACCCCCGCTCATGATTATTAGTGGGGGGGGGGGGGGTGCTACATGTGGAGTGACGTGACCCCCGCTCATGGTCATTAATGAGGGGGGGGGCTGCTCCATGACTAACGTCATTCGCTCATGATTATTAATGAGGGGGGGGGGTCCATTTGGAAGACGTAACCTGTTCATGAATTATATTTTGATTTAAAGCCTTCGTGATTGCAGGGATTAATATTCTTGGTTCTTTCTACGTAACTTTACTGTTCATGATTATTGATGAGGGGGGCTGGCCGACGTGGCTCGTTATGGTAGGAAATATTGTGTATAGCGTGCGTGTTGTATGTTTGTCGTGTGGTTTTGTGTCTATTGTGCTGTGTTGTGTGTTTATTGTGTCGCGCTGTGTTGTGTATCAGACATTGAACTCCCCAATGAGCAAGGGCGTCTGGACATCATGAAGATCCACGCTGCTCCCATCACCAAGCACGGCGACATCGGTGAACATCACCATCAACATCACCAATATCATCACCATCGCCAGCATGACCACCGCCATCATCACCACCACAATTGCCGTCACCATCATCACAACCATCGGCATCAACATCACCACCATCACCCACCCCCATGTCACCATAACCACCGTCACCAATGACATTATCATCACCATCATCAACATCAACACACTATCACGACCACCACAGCCATCACCCCGCCGTCACTATCACCACCATCACCCCCATCACCCTGTGTGTGTGTGTGTGCCTGTGTGTCCGTGTCCGTGTGTGCGTGTCTGTCTGTGTGCGTGTCCGTCTGTGTGCGTGTCCGTCTGTGTGCGTGTCCACGTGTGTGTGCGTGTCCACGTGTGTGCGCGTGTCCTTGTATGCATTTCCTTGTATGCGTGTCTGTGTGTCCGTGTGCGTGTCCTTGCGTTGTGTCTGTGTGTGCGTGTGTCTGTGTGTGCACGTTTCCGTGTGTGTGTCCGTCTTTGTCTTGTGTGTCTGTGTGTGCGCAGACTATGAGGCGATCGTGAAGCTGTCCGATGGTTTCAACGGAGCCGACCTGCGGAACGTGTGCACAGAGGCTGGTGAGTACCGCACTGTCACTCACCAATCACTCTCACCGACGCACTCTCACCCGCTCACTCAGTCACCCACTCACTGTCACCTACTCACTTACTCACTCACTTGCTCACTCACCCGCCCACCTGCTCGCTCACCCACCCACCTGCTCACTCAGTCAGCCACTCACTGTCACCTACTCACCCACCCACCCACTCACCCACCTACCCACTCGCCCGCTCACTCACTGTCACCCACTTACTCATCCAGCTGCTCACCCACTCACCCATCCAGCTACCCACTCACTCACTCACCCACTCACTCACCCACTTACTCACCTGCTCACTGTCACCCACTCACCCACCCACCGACTCGCCCACCCACCCACTCACCCATCCACCCGCTTACCCACTCACCCATCCAGCTACTCACTCACCCATCCACCTACTCACCCGCTCACTGTCACCCACTCACCCACCCACTCACCCACTCACTCACCCACCTACCCGCTCGCCCGCTCACCCACTCACTCACCCATACAGTTACCCACTCATCCATCCAGCTACCCATTCACCCACCCACTCACCGCCCACCTACTCACCCGCTCAATGTCCACTCACCCACCTACCCACTCGCCCGCTCACTGTCACCCACCCACTCGCCCGCTCACTGTCACCCACCCACTCACCCACCCACCCACTCACCCGCTCACTCACTGTCAACCACTCACCCACCCACTCACACGCTCGCTGTAGATGTGAGGCCAGCTGTAGGGGTGAGGCCGGCTGTGGAGGTGAGGTCTGGTGTAGAGGTGAGGTCTGGTGTAGAGGTGGGGTCTGGTGTAGAGGTGAGGTCTGGTGTAGAGGTGGGGTCTGGTGTAGAGGTGGGGTCTGGTGTAGAGGTGGGGTCTGGTGTAGAGGTGGGGTCTGGTGTAGAGGTGGGGTCTGGTGTAGAGGTGGGGTCTGGTGTAGAGGTGAGGTCTGGTGTAGAGGTGGGGTCTGGTGTAGAGGTGGGGTCTGGTGTAGAGGTGGGGTCTGGTGTAGAGGTGGGGTCTGGTGTAGAGGTGGGGTCTGGTGTAGAGGTGGGGTCTGGTGTAGAGGTGGGGTCTGGTGTAGAGGTGAGGTCTGGTGTAGAGGTGGGGTCTGGTGTAGAGGTGGGGTCTGGTGTAGAGGTGAGGTCTGGTGAAGAGGTGGGGTGTGGTGTAGAGGTGAGGTCTGGTGTAGAGGTGAGGTCTGGTGTAGAGGTGGGGTCTGGTGTAGAGGTGGGGTCTGGTGTAGAGGTGGGGTCTGGTGTAGAGGTGAGGTCTGGTGTAGAGGTGAGGTCTGGTGTAGAGGTGAGGTCTGGTGTAGAGGTGAGGTCTGGTGTAGAGGTGGGGTCTGGTGTAGAGGTGAGGTCTGGTGTAGAGGTGGGGTCTGGTGTAGAGGTGGGGTCTGGTGTAGAGGTGGGGTCTGGTGTAGAGGTGGGGTCTGGTGTAGAGGTGGGGTCTGGTGTAGAGGTGGGGTCTGGTGTAGAGGTGGGGTCTGGTCTAGAGGTGGGGTCTGGTGTGTAGAGGTGGGGTCTGGTGTAGAGGTGGGGTCTGGTGTTGAGGTGGGTCTGGTGTAGAGGTGGGGTCTGGTGTAGAGGTGAGGTCTGGTGTAGAGGTGAGGTCTGGTGTAGAGGTGGGGTCTGGTGTAGAGGTGAGGTCTGGTGTAGAGGTGAGGTCTGGTGTAGAGGTGAGGTCTGGTGTAGAGGTGGGGTCTGGTGTAGAGGTGGGGTCTGGTGTAGAGGTGGGGTCTGGTGTAGAGGTGAGGTCTGGTGTAGAGGTGGGGTCTGGTGTAGAGGTGGGGTCTGGTCTAGAGGTGGGGTCTGGTGTAGAGGTGGGACCAGGTGTAGAGGTGGGGCCAGGTGTAGAGGTGGGCCGGATGTACAAGTGGGGCCGGGTGAGGAAATTAACACCTCCTCGTCACCGTGGCATTCGGGTCGGGTGTGAACCCACGACCTCCTGCATACCGGGCGAGACAGTCCACATCTCCTAGCCACCGTGGCCCCACTTCAGCGCCGGGGAAGACAAAGGCGTCGGTATGAGAGCGCTCGCTGGACGGCCCTTGCCCCTGCTCTGCGTGGAGGCTACCCGGGGCCGCTCTGTCTGTGTCTGCGGTGTTGCAGGGATGTTTGCGATCCGGGCGGAGCGTGAGTTCGTCATGCAGGAGGACTTCATGAAGGCCGTGCGCAAGGTGGCTGAGTCAAAGAAACTGGAGTCCAAGCTGGACTACAAGCCCATTTGACAGATTCACGCACACACAGAGGGACACACACCGACACACAAAGGGACACACTGAGAGATAGACACATGCATAGACAGAGGGAGACACACATTGAGAGGCGCATGCATAGGCACACAGATAGACACACAGGTTGACACAGACAAAAATACACTGATCTAACATATAGCCTCTGTAGCAGACTGTTGGGGCAAGTGCTGTAAGCGAGCACCTATGAAGGCCGGCACGGTACACGAGGGGGTGGGTGGCCAGTACCACGCCCGGCCGTCTTTGACTTCTCCAGTGACGATGTTGACATACTGCTCCAGGCACTCATTTGAGGCTCATTCGACCTAGGGAGGACCAGGACCGGTTCAGATAATCGTCATTGGTGGTGGCCATGAGCCGGAATTGAACTCGCGGCACCGGGTTTGTAGCTCAGCGTAGCACGAACCGCTGCACCACTGCTCCCCGAACAGAGACACGCATAGGCCTGGGCAACACACAGACACGCACAGATACACAGGCTGACACTCATAAACACACACACTCACACGCAGAGGCACAGAGATAAACACACAGAGAGACACACAAACTCACACGGACTCGCACTGAGACTCACGTAGAGGCCTAGTGGCCGTGTTGCATTGTTGTCGTTTGTTGGTGACGTTGAGTCGATGTTCCAGTTGAGTTCCGAGTGCGATCAGAGTTCAGCGCTGGCTCGCAGGGATGGGCGCCATGCGTGTTGAGTTGCACTGGCGTGGTGAAGTATGGTCTTGTGTCCCCCCCCCCCCCCCCACACGTTTTCAAATAAACACTCGCATGAGTTCTACTCTACTCGTGCGCTGTGTGTGTGTGAGGAGGAGTGTGGGAAGGTTTTAGCTCGTTCCTAGGACGGGCTGCTCTTGTCTCCTACGTTAGTTCGGGGACTCGTGTGTGGTGGGCAGGGTCGATACCAGCGGTAGCAGCAGCAGGAGGCCTGTGTTGTAGTCACTCTTGACAGCTGTTTATGAACGATGAGCGAAATCATCGGTCCCCGCAGCCTGAGTTGAATTTACTTTGATCTGTTACACGTATGATGGTGATCCCATGTAGCCAGTTCCCTCGATAATATACGTAGAGACTCGTCAAAGATGAATAGATGTATACATTAGAGATACGTAGGGACCTGTATAAAAACGTAGAGACCCCAATTAGTTATGTAGATATTAAAGGTACATAGAGTCAGAGATATGTGGAGACTCGTAGAGATACAAAGATACACAGATACTCGTAGATATACATAAAGACTCTTAGAGATACAACAACCGCCATTCACGAAGTTGCGATGACGTCACCACCGCGCTTTGTGCCATGCTAGGTGCACTTGAGAACACGTGAAGTATTGAAGGCCCGCTGCTGACGGGTCACGGTATGTCAGGCAACGCAAGAGCAGGGTCGGGGGTGATTGCTGGGCCGGCGCCAACCGAGGCCTTGCTGGCACGGAGTAACCCTCACGCCTCTGCCAGGCCCTCGTGTGCCATCATCTCTGCAGTGGCTAGGAGATGTTAATTATCTCGCCTGGTATACAGGAGCTCATGGGATTTATCCCGACCCTGACACCTGCTGTATGTGTGGAGCTTGCGTGTCTCCCCCTAGTTTTGTTGATTTTTCACCCTGCCCTCTGGTTTTTCCCTCCACATTGAGAATCCGCATCTTTACTCGTTTACAGTGTTTGGTTGCTATAAATTACCTCGTGCCGATAAGCCACTTCATTGGGTGATCATTTGTGATGGCCAAGCCGCTTCTGAAAAAGAGCTACACATCTCAGTGGGCCTAACCTGGTAAAATATATCAATAGTAATAGTTCTAAATTGCTTGTCTCCGCTAGCAACTAATTCGGGGGCGTGTCGCACGGCCCTCTGTCATACCGCCAGGCCTGGCTGCGGACTCGACGGGGCCGGCCCCCGGCAGGTCTCCATTTCCTCGGTGTCCTCGTCCCTTCCCCCCCTTTATCCTCTCCACACCTCCGAGTACACCGGCGTGTGCCACAGGTTCATCATCACACCCCCCAGCTGGGCAATCACTCCACACCTCGTCGTACGGCCGCTGATGTAGATGCAGAGCCAACAACTACACTTTCCCAAATCTTGACTTAAAGCTTTCGTGACTGCAGGAATTCATATTCTTTGGGTCTTTCGGTAAAGTCACGTAGATAGTTTTTTTTCACCTGATGACGGTCGCTTGTGTTGCTATCAAAACGTAGTTTTTCGTTTTTTTGTTATATTTTTAACCTCTCCACGTGGCTTTACCGAAAGACCCAAAGAATACAATTTCGCATTCAGGTGGTCAAGCCAGATAACCACAGCAGGAGTAGTGGAGTGTATCGCTGTGATGTCTCCGTATTTGTAGCTCGGGCATTGTGTCATTACACGTACTACAGTCTCTTCTGGATGACCACAGTCGCACCGGATAGTTTTTAATTTCCCATTTGTGTATCAGGAATCCGCGTCTACTGCCAAGGTTTGTGCAGTGGTTGCGGTTTACGGTGGACCATGAGCAGCTTTTTTGAAGATCAAACCTCTGGATGTTCTGCGTTGGGTCTTTCACAAGGTGTTTTGTGAGTTCTCGTGAACTCCATTCCACTCTCCAAGCTTCATCAGGGTTGAACTCGCATTGTTGAAGGTTAAGCCCATGGGTCCAAAAGGGGCTCGGCGTGACTTCAAGCGATGCCGAAGGATGTTATTAAGGTCTTGGTAAATGGGAAGGCAACTGTTTTCCTTGATTCGCAGGACTTCCCAGAGGGTTGTCGAAGATGCGGGGGCAGGGGGGGGGGCAGGAGAGACTCCGCACCTCACGAGCTCACATGGGGGTTTAATATTCTACCCGCCGCTTCGTTGAGTCGGAGGTGCCCGCGTGATCATCAGTTTTTACGGCTGTATCTCCATGTAGGTGGATATCTCTACACGTATATGGGTGTGTCTATGCATGTATAACCAGAAACTTAGTTTCCTGCCAGTGAGCCTTCTACACTTTACGTGGCCTCAGCCTGGCACAAGCGTCAAGGCTGTATATATGTAACATCTAATTAGGCATTTATATACATGTGTAGTTCCTATCGGAACTCTACAGCTTCCTGTTCGTCCACACACGTCCACTTTCCAGGGCGCTCTACCAGACTGCCACTCATCTATCCCCACTCTGCGCCCTAGCTCCCTGATTCGCCACCGATACGGGAGGGGTTGTGTGGCATTCGCCAGCGCTGATAATGTCACTCAGACTCTTCCATTCCACCTCTCCGTCAACCGCCCGTTAACTGAATCAACTTTTGAATTGCTTCTAGCGAGCAGTGGTCGTTCCCACAGGCTTGGAGCTCGGCTATTTCCATACTTCTGCTAAGGACCACCACTTAGGAGGCCGTCCATAAATAACGTCACGCGATTTTGGACGATTTTTGACCCCCCCCCCCCCATTCGTCACACGGCGTCACAAAAAGTCAGACCCCCCCTCAAATTAAACGTCACAAAGCTCTGCGTCCCCCACGCCCCCAAATAAATAAAACATGATTCAAATCGTTTTAAACTATTGTCATTGTAGTGCGTATTTAATGTGGCGCTGCACTCTGATGTAGGATTAAACATTTATTGAAAAGTCTAAGTAGAACGTGTTCATATTTTTTAAAGTGCGCATTTTGACGTGACGTCACATTTCTCAAACCCCCCCTCGTCACACATCGTCACTAATGTCTAACCCCCCCCCCCCAGGTGCGTGACGTCATTTATGGACGGCACCTTATTCGATCAAAATTGAACCTCGTACATTAGGAAACACATAGTCAGGTCTCCGACTTGGAATAACTTGGCCTAAAAAACCTTTGTCCGAGGTTTGGGGGAATGGCGGTCCTAACATTAACAAGATGAACGAAGCAAAGTGCCGACTACAACGAGCATCTTCTTGTTTTCCTCTGATCATAAAAAAAACAAGTGGCAGAGAGAGAGAGGGAGATCCACAAAAACTTGTCTTCCACATTCAACTTGCCCCTCTGTAGACAACACGGGGACCTCTTGAGAAAGGTTCCTTTGGCGTACTTGTGTAGAGGAGTAGAATGGGGAAGTGGCGTCACTTGTGCTGTCCAGGGCGATGACGTGACGTCATGCGCTCGGGGCAGCAGAGTGACGTCACGGCTCCTCAAGGATAAAAAGGGGACCCCGTGACGTAAGCGGGGTCGTAGCTGGAGAGTAGGGGTCTGAGAAGGGTGGAACGGGGAGCCAGGGGCAAGAGGGTAGGGATAGGAGAGAGCACAGTGCCATGCTAGACGTGGCTGTGCTCCTCGGTCGGCCGTGTTGGTTGATCCCACGGCCGGGGCAGAGGAGACAGCACAGGGCAGCCGGCTGTGTCGGGACCTAGCCCGGGGCCCCTAACCCCTGGGGAGTTATTCACCCCTGTGTATTGTTAAAGATTTGTAATAAAACCTTGGCGGAAGCCCTTACCTTACCTTAGCCTCCGATTGGGTCGTCGGGAACTCCTTTACAACTGGTGTCCCCATTGCCTTTGGCGCACGCGTTCACTCGTCTATATTTGCATGGATGTGTTAGAAATTACAGGTATGCGCTGATGTTAATATGGTAAAAATGGACCCCATGGGGCGCGTGCCCCGCCCACATTAGCGGGTAAATGTGCCGGGTTCATCTTCAGGCCTCGGCGCCCTGTGGTTTATGGCTTCACACACAGACTCACCACACAGGGACCCATAGACTAACCACAGAGCGAGTCGTAGACTCACCACAGAGATCCATAGACCCGTAGACTCATCACACAGAGGCCTATAGACTCGCCACACAGAGACCCATAGACGCACACACAATCCCAGAGACTCGCCACACATACCCATAGATTCACTTCACAGAGACCAACAGACTAATCAGACAGAGACCCCAGAGACCCATAGACACCACACAGAGATCCATAGATTCACTACACAAAGACCCATAGAGTCAGTACACAGAGGCCTGTAAACTCACCACAAAGAGACCCATAGACGCACAGAGATCCATAGACTCACCACAAAGAGACCCATAGACTCATACAGAGACCCATACTACTCAGTACCAACAGCCTGCTAGAGGATACCTGGGTGGGAAATACACTGAGTAGTTGCTTCGCCGATTTATTTGGTTTATCTG